TTTTTGGTAGTTTTTGGGCAACAGTGGAGGTATGGCACAGGATAATGCTGTAACCATTCATTAGACGTATTCTTTACAAAGTTCCTTTTTTGTTACAGCTCATTTTGTTTTTTTGTACAATTTCCTACCAGATGTTTCCCTTTCTCCTTTAATCCAATATAACAACTGTGCATCTGTTTGCATGATACAAGAGAGAGCTTCCAGTCAAGACTCAGCACAAGCATCTTGCTTAATCATGAAGTGAGTGAGCATTAAAGCAGTAAAGTCAAAGGTTTCACATATCAACAGACAGTCCAGCCCCTGGTAGATTTCCCCTCACACGTGTGGAGGAGTAAAAGCAGTGCCTCCCATCCACCACAAATCTGTTACCGTAAGTCTGATTTTCAATACAATCCCTCATGGGTTCTCTTTCATTACGGTCCTCACCACATCTGTATCAGGTGTCTGGGTGTGGGCAAGTGCTAAGATCTGTTTTCCATATTTCTGTAGATCTCCTGCTCAGACCTTCAATGAACCTCCCCTATAGCCTTTCAGTGTACCTGCACTGACTCGTGTGGAGAATTGCCACAAATAAAACCTCTGTCTGACAAATGATTTGACTGAAAATGAAAATATTTGATAGAAAATTGTATTAATGTGGCCATGGATGACATTGAATATATCACTTTAATGGGATAGTATGAGCTGCCAGGATTCATGAGGTGTAGAAACGTGTATATCAGTAATGAGTAAAATGCTAAAAGTTAACAGGTGGTTATCATTGGGCCTCACTGGCTTATTTTAACTTCTGCCATTTCTGCCTGGCTGGCCCAAAGAGAAACATTTGAATGTGATGAGGAATAAAATAAATGTATATATTCAAGGAGCAGCAGGGGGAGCAGGGATCCCTGATTTATGAGTAACGTTTTCTGGAATCTATTTCTGGAAGGAAAGCTTGTGTTTTGAGCTTATTGGTTTCGACAGCACAACTAATGGAGCAGTGGTGAACGATCCCTTGCTCCATGTTCCCGCTTGGCTCTGGAAGTGGAGCTAATGGTGAGCCAACTTCAGGCTGATATAGGTCCAAATCCAACCAGAAGGTGGAGTCTGGTGAATATGACCAAGAGGGTTGAGAAACCTTCATGATATGAACCTCTTCCTATCAGAGCTCATCAAAACAAAACTGCTGAGGATTTTAACAGATGCCAAATAAACAGGATTAAATGAGTCCAAGACAGAGACAGCAGAGCCTTTGAATCATTTCTGTGGTCTCCGCTTGATGTTTAGTTGCACTGAAGAGGCCAGACCACAGTTAATGGGACAGATCCCAGAGCATTACCTAAGCTCAAACTGCCGCTGTAGCAGAATAGTACTCTTTTTAATCATTGTGGTGGGGAAAACATGCGTCAAGAGAATATATAACAACGTTTTTGTGTTTTCATAAAGCACAATGACTTATTGACTGAAGAAAAGTGTCTGAGCCAAGATTAAGTTTTAATAGCGCAAAATTTCAGCAGCAAAAAAAAATGCCTGCAGCCCATAACATAATGGAAGAAGCTGCAGTATTTGTCATAGATTATAGACCATCTGAGGGAAAAGGAAAAGGCACTTTAAGGAAAATGGGCCATGTATCAGAGCTCAGAAACACCTTGGCACTGTGAGTCAGTGATTATTACCCGAGGGAGTTCTTTTCCCTGTCTTTCCATAATCATGGGTCATCCCCTTCAATAGCTCGGTCTCAGCAATTGGCCCGTCTGCACGTCTCCAACCCCACAATATGAATCTCACAGGCCCCGGCCTGACAGGAGTGACAGTGTTTACACAGAGGCTCCTGAGCCAGAGGTTTGGATCTCATCGGCAGTTATAACCACCAGGTTTCTCTCCGTCGTTCACACCCTGCTGGTTTTCATCAAGTCAACCGCAGCAGTCGTGTTTTTTTGTTGATTTAGTAAAATGGCATTTTCTGCTACTCCTTGCTGAGAGCCAGACCTGACCTGATTAATGCAGTCCTTGCAACCAGACAGGTCAAACTTTGGCTGGTTTTCCCAGGAGAATTGGTACCACTGAGTCCGACTCGTAAAGATCCTCTATTCTGCTACATTGAAACCCCCAAAAAGCCCTGAGAACGCCACACTTGCATCCCCTAATTTGTCTCCAACTTTATTTCAACATACAGGATGAATGAATTGCACATCGGAAAGTAAAGTTTTTCCAGTCTAACTTTGTTGTGGCTTTTGCTCCAGGCCATCAGATTTTACGGGCTGCGCCAATTAGCCCACAAGTTATTCTGACGGTGCCACTAATTAGTTTTGTCTGCTGAGGGGACGACATGATGCATGAGCTTTGTACTGTATGAACATGATCACGCCGTTTACACAACATGTACATATGGAATTTTAAAAACAAATAAATTACTTGAAAATGCTCAAATAGTTTCTTTAATGTCAGCATTTCAGTCACTACATATTTATTTATAAGAGTCATGGATGTCTTACTCCTTCCATTTAATATGTCTATAGCTTCATTGCTCCACATTAACTTTACTTTTATCTGTAATTACGTTTTTTATTTTCAGCCGTTTGAATACTTTTCCAAAAACACACGTTAATCTCATAAAAAGCATAAAAATGAAACTCTTACCTGTGTCAGTGAGTTTAGTCAACAGCCCAGGAGGTGCAGGTAAGACCCGGCTTGGTGTCTCAGTTGTGTTTCCTATGCAGATTCATGCTCTCCATTCTCCTCCTCTCACTCTCCTTCTGTCTTTGCTCTCATTGAGAGTGAAGGCCTGCATACAGCTATGGCACAAGCAAACACTGTCCGCTAGGAGAACAGTAGAGGGTGGTCCATATGCAGAAAGAGGGAGGCTGATGGTGTGATTTTCTCCGTAGTTTGAGCAGAGGGGAGGCTTGGCTCTGCCCTCTTCCTCTGATGAAAGAATAGACTCCTCCTAATATAAGATTCTGCCACACATTAAAAACTAAGTGATGAACCAGATTGGCTAGGAGTCGGCAAAATCAGTCTAGCTGTCATCATGTCGGTCTCATATGGTCTCGTTTGCAATGTTTTCTATATTGTCTCTCACACACTATTTGTCTGCCAGGCTTGTAGAAGTTGATGACATGCACATAAACTCTCTTTTTCCTTCTTAAACACACACACGTCTGCTTCATTCACAGTTTCTCATCCTCCTCGCAAATCTGTTTCCCATCAGCTCTAATCTAATCACTGAGTGATTCTGGTGATCCAGTAGCTTTTGAATTTCAAATAAAGAGCTCTGCTTTGGATGAGCATCTCTTTACTCCATATATGGGGGTGTCTCTTGTGACAATCCAAGAGCTATTGGCAGCTGTGTTTATTTGGTTATGAGGACAATAAGCAGAGGGCTTTGCAGACAAAAAAAAGAACGGCCCTCAGCTAAATGTTTTGGATCGAGGAGGAAGCACGGGCTTTGATGCATGGGGATTCTCTGTGTGGGGAGACATACTTTAGCATGTGGGAGGACACATTTGCTCATGAGCAACTGAGGCAGGACATTCACAAAGGTGTGTGTGTGTGTGTGTGAGAATCTATGAGAGCATGTGTTTGCTTATGCGTGATTGAGAGCATGTGTCGGCAGTCGTTTGTATATAATAGGGGTCGTCCAATTTAAATAAATCATATATAGAAGAACATGTGTTTGGAGGAAGCGGTTACTGAAAAGAAGCTAAAAAATACATTTTGGGTTAATTCAACCCGTGCCTGGAAATCTAACGGTATATGCATCATATTTAACAAGCCCCACTATTGTGTAGTCTAGATCAGTGTTTCACAATCTGGCGCTCACAGGATATATCTGAGGGGTCCCAAGTGAAGTAAAAGGATATGAAAGAAAAATCTCTTTGGGGGAACTGCTCATAATTCATGTAAACTTAAGGGATACGAGAGAAATTTGCTGATTTTTTAAAAACTTCTTATAAACAGGACTTGTTTGTCAATTGTTTGCCCAATGTCACATTGGACAGATACTTCAGTAAGGTCCTTTTCCACTTAATGTAAGTGTATTCAGATGATGAGTCCCTTTTTCGGCCCCTTAGAAAGTCTGTTTACATCCCTGCTGATAGTTTTTGTTTGTACAACATGTGAGTTTGGGCCTTTGTATTAAGGAATTAATTGTTTAGCATGGAAAATTCACATGTCTCTATAAGTAAGCTGCCACATTGGTTAAAATCCAGCTCTCTCTGTGAGCCCCTCCTTGTGGCTAAAAAAGTTTATTACCACCTCCATCATCATAGTTGTTGCATGGCCATTGCTTCAATCTGAAATGGAAGGACAGTATGCAGTGGTGGGAGAGGTAGTATTCAGATCATTTACTTAGTAAAAGTATTGATGCCACACTGTGTAAATACTTTTACTTAGTAAAAGTATTGATGCCACACTGTGTAAATACTCCAGTACAAGTAAAAGTTCTGAAACCACACTTAAGTGATTGTATGTAAGTATAATCAGCAAAATGTACTTATAGTATCAAAGTAAAAAGTACTTGTTATGTAGAAAATGGTCCCCGTCATTGTTTTACTACAATAACAATTAAAAATCGCCAAATGTGGAGATGCATCGTTTTCACTGGACACGAAGGGCATGAAAAATTATAATCTAAAAAGTAACTTGTCATAAAGCTGTCACACAAATGTAGTGGAGTAGTGAACAACATTTGCCTCTGAGATGCAAGTTAGTGGAGTAAAAGTATTATAAAGTTGCACAAAATGTAAATACTCAAGTAATTAGGCTACAAGTAACATGAACTTGTACTTAAGTGCAGTAAATGTACTTTGACATCGACATTCTCCCAATGTCTGTATGAATGCGAACGGAAGTAAACTGCAGCGAATAAAATAGATGGTTAAAAGTCGAGTAAATAGGGATTAAAACTAAAGAGTTTTAGCACAAACAAACAACCATACCGTCAGACGAGCCCTCGATGACGTCATGCGTATTGGCCAATAGGAGGCGGTCATCTTGTGACGTTAGTAGGCCTACTCGTTAATACTCGACGGTCAGCGACAACGACCGTAATCAAAACAGAGGATTTCATAACTTTTACTTTGATTCACAGGGAAGAATTCATTAAGATAATGACGTTTTTTTAATTCAAAATATTTCTGAACGACGTCTTGCAGTTCTTTTTTTGTTCATTTCCCTCACGACTGTTTATTTTTCCAAGTATGGTGAGTTTGACCTCGTCCCCTTCTGTAAAATGTTGACGTTTGACTGTCTGAACTTTGTGTTAACGCATCCTACAGACCGCTGTAGGAGTCATTGCGTTTGTCCACGGTGCCCTACAGAGACCGCTTGGATTAGAGGATTTAAACGGGCTTTACTTGTGTGCAGTGCTGCGGATAATATTAGTCTCCTGCAGCGTTAGAGATCCTGTGTCACTGTGGATCTGTTGAGCCCCCGAGGAAGACGAGACAACTGCCAGTGCATGTCCTTCACAAATGTACTTAATGTGCACAAACAATAACCTCTAAAATATTATGATAGATAATTTACACCCTGGTCAAGATTAATAGCACACCCAAAGTTATTTCCAATATATAATGTAATGTTTGTTTCAGTAATATGTCTGAATTAACCCTGTAAGGTCACTGAACTTGCGTTTACACCTACATTATGATTACCCGGTAGTATGACTCTTACAGATATCTGCTGATGTGTTGCAGGACGCTCTGTGCGACCTCTGCTTGGCTCAGGTGTGCCGCAGCCTGGACGCTCTGTGCAGCAGGCGAGCAGACGGCTCCATGTGCCTCAGCTGGGCCCCAATTTTCCCACAGGAGATGGCAGACCAGTTACTGCTTAAGATGGCAGCTAAAGGTAGGTCAGGAGGACAGAAAGAAAGGCTCCTACATTATCAATATCACTAACTGGGAGCAACTGTAGCTGCCAAGGGATGGTAGCTCTGTGGCAAGTTAGTAGAAAAGGGAGCAATGATCTCACACCATGACAAATGTGTCTTACTTATGAACTTCATTTAGTTATAATTCTTCATGCACAAAACTTACTGTACAAACAAAGTCAGGAGAGCATTATCCTTAACTTACCCCTTCATATGCATGGTTATTAGTTCCGTGTAGACTACTATGGCAGGCTGAAATACTGCAAAAAATATTTTCCATCAACATCAATGAGGCTTTACTGATGCTATTTTTCCTAAAACATTCCTTTGTTTTCTTCTCTCTACAAGGGATACTGAATGACACAACCGTTGGGATTTTCCAAAACTGCAAAGCACTCCGCCTGCACCGAGCTTCCATCCGATGCTGTCCAGTGTCTGCAGAAGCTTTCCGCCTGGCCCTCTGCCCTCACCGGCTCCAGGAACTAGACGCCTCCTGGGTTCCTGGCGGCCTCACTGGGGCAAACATCATCTCAGGCCTGGCCTCCAACCCCGAGTGCAGATCCAGCCTGCAGAGGTTGTCCCTAACTGGGCTACATGTCGACTTGGAGTCTCTGGTGGAGGATGGAGGGACCCGTGTTGGATTTAGCTCCCTGCAGGGCTTGCGAACGCTCAACCTTGCCAACACAGACCTGACTGATGCCGTTCTCGAGGATATCTGCACTCTCCCTCGGCTGGAGAGCCTGGACATCTCCTGCAGTGCCGTCTCACAGCTTACCGCGCTCCTAGATTGCAAAAACACGCTGAGATCTTTGATGACCCACCGGCTGCGGCAGCTGGATATGACGCCTGCCAGGTTGCTATTTGTCCTCAGCCAACTTCACGCGGTCAGGCATTTAGACTTTTCAGAGGACCATTTTGCTGTGGATGACAGTGACGGGGATGAGACCGTGCGGCAGCTTTTGGGTGGGAGTCCACATATCCTCCCTTCCCTTGTTTCTCTAGATATCTCTGGACGGAAGAGAATCACTGAAGCAGCAGTCAGTGTGTTTGTGGAGGCCAGAAGTGGACTGGTCTTCTTGGGCCTGCTAGCCACCGGTGCCAGCTCCTGTGACATCCTGTCTTCAAAGAAAAACCTAAAAGTAAGGAGCGAGCATCGGGTACAGAGTCGACATACTACGAGATGTCAGAGAATGTTATTGGCAGACACATGTTGACTCTCGCATATGTTTCTCATTTGTCTTTGACTTGAGGCTTAGTTTGTTTGTGTACAGAAAATGTTGTATTTCCTGGCTCTCTCTGACAATGCTGATCTTCTGTGTATGTTCAGGTAACTGGAGAGGCTAATGAGAACCAGGTGTGCGAGGCCCTGAGAAGGTACAGAGACCGTGAGTGTTTCATCCGAGAGGCCCTCGTCCAGCTCTACAATCTAACCACTGACATTGACAAACCCCGGCCAGATATGCTAGAGGTACTATCACAGCTTTGTGTTTGAACAAAAGCTTTAAAGCGTAGTTTTACTTGTTACAGCGCAGGTCTTGTTATGGTCTTTTGGACATCATTTTTATGGATTGTGATTACATTGTTCTCTCAAAGTAATTGCTAAAACATCCATCATTTAGAAAAGATTATCTAAGCCACTTTATTGAAGGTCACGAATATATCCCCCTCATTGCAGGAAAACTGGGCACGCAAAAATATGTCAGACTGATTGATGTTTAAAAAACATTTGGGTAATAATTTTGCTGCTCACTTTCATAAATTAGGTTGACCTGGGGGATTGTTAAACCTGAAGGATGCCGTTCCTTACCCCCACAACGATTTTTTAGGATATGAATGATTGCCAAAACAATGGTAATAGGACCCGGGTTGTAAGAAACAATGAATTATACTTAAATAATTGCCTTGTATAGTATAATGTTTTATTCTAGTGTTGCACAATATCTCCACTTATTCTGTGCAGGATGGGATGCTGTTGTTCACTCGTTACTCATTTATTTAAAAGGGAAATGTTAGAGATCAAGATTTCCTGGCAAGAAGACTTTTCCAAAAAAAACAAACATACAGTATAAGCACGGTAATTCACAACATTTTATACATAAAAATAATACATTTCAAGCAGCATTTAAAAAAAAAAAATAAATAAAATAAAGAAATCAGGTAAGGCTTGCACAATCAATGTTGGTTTTATCAAAATAGAAAATATGTACCATGCATCACTATACAATACATTAATACATAGTTATATAGGGCAGCCATATATTTGCCTGACAATCAACACAATGTGAATCATTCTAATGTAGCATAAATATCTAAATGTACAAAGAGCAAGGAAACTCACTTTTACACTCAGACTATTGTTGCCAGTAGAGAGCCCAGAGTTCTGCTGCAGGTAATTCAAAGGTCTCACACCTGAACTCTATCCCAAATGTATATAGACTCTGATCAAGCCAGGCTCCTCTCACTACCTGCTCCATCTCAGACAGCTGACAAATCAATCGATTTAAAAGTGTTTGTAACACATCCTCTTTGTAAACAGCCTAGTATTCATCTTCAAGCTTAGTTTGAACAAACTGTACAGCTAAAGTTAAAATGTCCTCTGACCCGACATTATAATTACTGTATTTAGTCGAGAGAGGGAAAGAGGAGGTAAAGAGGCTGTTTCTAGCAGAGCCTTACAGATAAATGGTACAATGGAATCTCACAGCTGTCCCATCACTGTCTCTACTGACAGGAAGTTGTTTCTTATTCTGAAGCACATGTGCTTTTGAAATAAACCTCTTGTTTGCTGTAGCTGGTGCTGAGTGGGATGCAGAGCCACCCCACCTCTCTGCACGTCCACCTGGTGGCCACAGCGTGTGTGTTCAACCTGACCGCTCAGGACCTGGCAGTGGCCATGCCCGTCAGCCTGATCAGCTCCACTGTCACCCAGCTGCTGTACGCCATGAAGACCTACCCCAACCACCAACAGGTCAGGGGACAGTGCTCAGTGTTTCTGATAACAGATCCATAATGATGAAGTTACACAACAGCAAAATGTGGCACAGAGTGGCTGTTGCTACCAGCTGGCGTGTCATTCATCCGATTCTAACCTAATATTTGCTGCATTTGGGTACCACGCCCATTTTTACACCATCAGACAGTATTTGTAGTTACTTCACATAACCATATACACACATAAAATACATATATTTTTTTGAAACCATGGTCCTTCAATTGGTAAACTGTTTCCATCTCTGCAGGTGCAAAAGAACTGTCTGATGGCGCTCTGCAGTGACTACATCCTTCAGGATGTCCCATTTGACAAGTTAGTTATTTTCTCACAGTTCTAATATATGATGTACTGGTTCACGGTAACGCAGTAGCCAACATAATCAGTGCACTCGTAGAAAAGCACCGCAGTGTTTTTCCACCAAATTGTGATCCAGCTAAAATATATTTTCTCTTGAAACATTTGTGCCAAAAGAAATAGTTCCTCCAGATGCAACAGTGCAGACCTGAACTACCAAGGCTTCTCTGTGCATCACTGGTATATTTGTGCAATACTGTGTCGCTTATATCCATAATGTGATCATGGTTTAGGTATTTAGCAGCCACGCTGGTGATTAACTGGCTGCGCAGTCACGAGGATCCTACCCTTCAGAGGATGGCTGTGGCTGTCATCTCCATTCTGGTGGCCAAGGTCAAGACACTGCTCACTTACTGTGCATTAGTCTGCTAGAGGAAAATAGTATGGCAACTGTTAGTCCCACCTGTTAAGAGCCCCGTGTGTCAGTCACCTCCTGTACCTCTGTGACATTTCAACAACAGTCAGGTTTATGCTTTCATTTAGTCCAGTTACAGTTTCCCTGTGTGTTAAGTATTCAATTTGTTCTAGTTTGACATTTGGGACAACATGTAGAATTCAAAGAAGCACTCATCTATTATTATTATTATTATTATTGTTTGCAGTTGTCCACAGAGGAGACCGCTCAGCTGGGCAAGGACGTCTTCATCATCAAGGTACATTAACACTTTCAGAGTATTTCGATTCAAACTTACACAACGTCCCCGGCTTAGCACTAGATATGCATGAGTGCATTTCTAGTTCTCTCGGTCTTCCTCAGCCTCTGAATTTTCCATTACCTACCCTGCATATACACTCATTGTGTCACTGTCAACTCGTTTCTCCATGCACTCGTCCTTCACGGTTTACTGTTACTTCATTATTCAATTACACCTCTCTATATTTCATTGTGTGTGCAATCAAGCTTCTCTCTAAACGTCTGTTTTGCTTATTGCACAGCACATTGTAACAGCTTAAGTTAATATTTTCCTGTATATCTACAAATAAAAAAAACGATTTTTAAATGCAGAGCAGCATCCAAAACTTTTTTTTTGGCTGTTACATGTCTCCTCGTCCCTCTGTCTCATGTTTTCACCACTCATTTACTCCATCTCACAGCAGCTGCTGGCTATTGTGCAACAGAAAGCCATGGTGGGAGTGGTGGACTCCACTCTGAAATTTGCCCTGAGTGCTCTGTGGAACCTGACGGATGAGATGCCCACTGCTGCTCGCAATTTCATGGAGTGCCAGGGCCTGGAGCTGTACGAGGAGGTTCTTGAGGTAGAAGAGCCCCAGAAATACACTGAGACACATCAATACAGAAATGCACCCCCAGCCACACACACAAACATCGTCTCATGCTGTCCCTTTTTTATGTTGCAGTCCTACTACACTGAACCTTCCATTCAGCAGAAAGTTCTTGGCCTTCTGGTGGGTTCAGTATGTCTTTATGTGGCGTTATTAGTCCAGATTGTTTTTTTTCCATGTGTGCCACAGTACTGCATGTCCTTGTTTTTATAGCTTGTTTAAACTAAAAAGTGATTTAATAGTTTAAAGTTAATGCTTATTTTCTTTTTTCAATGATTCCCACATCACATATTGCCCCCAAATATTTGACCCATGGGAAAGAAATAAAATCCATCTGTAGGCAATCTAACATATTATTGTTGTCATCAATGTGCAAAATACCCGGTGGTAATCGGGGGTGTCCCCCCTAACTAGTGCTTCAGAGTTATGCTGAAGTCTTATAGACTCAATATGCAAGATTTCATGAATGTAAGCCAAGATAATCAACTATATAAGCACTTTGCACACATCACCAAGGCTAATATCATTAACAATAAGGCCTCTCACACAACCACGACCTGCAACATATTTCCACACAACACACTCACCTCTTTCTCTAGAACCAGACACACTTGTCGCTGTACAACTTCTCACCCAACACATGAATAAGTTAAGTTTAAATTCGGAATACGGCTGGACAAAGTGAGCATTTAAAAGGCATTTTTAGCGACAATTGCCAGAGACGACATTTAAAAAAAAAAAAAAAAAAAAAAAAAGACTTTTTGCAGAAAACCCCAACATGGGGTTTCAAGTGTCAATTAGGGGTCTCGGCCCCCGAGACCGCTCGTATTAGTGCTATTATTTGTCTCTCTGTGTTGCAGAACAACATAGCAGAGGTGGAGGTGCTACAGGTGGACCTTATGGAGGAGGACCTGTTGGGGCACATCCTCAGCCTGTTGCAGGACAACCAGGTGGAGCAGCGGGTCCGTTACTTTGCAGGGGGGACTCTGGCACAGCTCGTCTCCAGACCAGAGGCCTGGACCCTGGACGACGAGCTCCGCAGCACCATACTGAAGCAGCTGGTGTGTGAGAGGCAAAAAGTTTTGGATGCTGCTCTGCATTTAAAACAGAGTCAAATCCACCTTTGACTGTTTTCAAAGTGTCTCTCTTTCTTTCTTTGCAGCATACATCCATAATGACATGGACCCAACTCGAGAAAGAAATGGTCTCTTATAGGTGAGAGAAACTCAAACTGGACAAAATAGAAAGCATTTTAGAAGTAGCATAGCTTTTAATGCATTAAGCCATTTTGGTTATCAACCTCAGACATACAGAATATTACCTGCAGTACCGGAGAAAGTCCAGACAATCACAAGGACGAATTTTACATTCCCTTGGTGTTTGATGTGAAATAAAGAACTGTCAGGTTAATTTACTAAACCCCTCCAAACAAAATGCTCAGAATTACTCAAAGTTCAATATTTTTACTCCGATCGTACCATCTCCTTGTTTCCACATTTCAGATCGTTCCGTCCATTTTGCTCTCTGCTTCAGACTTGGCAGTCCTCGGGAGTGCAGCTGTGGGCAGTCTGGGCAATACATCTGGTCTGCATTCAAAACGGTAAGAAGCATGACAGACTACTGGGTAGATATTAGGGGGTGGGAGCACATGGGTGGTTTTATAGGAGTCAGCATATTTAAACAGAACTGCTCATGTATTACAGTACAGCATGTCAGCTGCAATGATTAGTTGACTAATCAATAAGTCAGTCTACAGAAAATGTATCAGAAATGATTTCTGTACAAAAAAGGCTAAACTGAATAGTTTAAAGAGGTCTCCTTGGACTTCGAGAAATGGACATTGTTCAATACCTTCTAAGGTTTTAGAGTAAACTAGAAAATAATCTGCATATTAACCAACAAAAATAATCATTGGTTGCTGCCCTCTACATTTTAATGTAAAATAGAGCCGATTGTCACTTTCATCAGTACATTTGTCACAATAAATATACCTTATGAAATAGACTCAAAGACTTCTCTAGTGTATTAATGATCACGTTATGGTGGACTATCACTGTAAGCTTCCATTTCCCTCATGTTCTTAACGCGTCTCTCCATCTTCTATAGCGTCACATTACAGCAGCATGATGGAGAAGGACGGCGTGACTGAACTTCTGAGGGCTTTGGCTGCACATCCCGACACACACAGCGACGTTAAAGGACTGTCGGACAGCATCTTGCGTGTGGTAGAGAAACACCAGAGTCACTCAGGGTCCGTCAACAAACAGATGGAGTCTCGAAACTCTTGACAAATGTGCAAAGAAATTACATTTTTGTTTATTGTTCAGCTGTGAGTAAAATCTGCTAAACGTGAGGTTGCAGATTGAGTATTGGATACAGACAGTTCACGTCAGTCAGCTTGAATTTAAAGTTCAGTGGAATAAATGCTGTACAATCGCTGGTTATAAAAAGTTCTCTCAGGAGGTACCTTTACACTGTTGATGAATCGTTAAGCAAAAACGTTTACAGACAGGATATAAAGTCCTAATATTTTATCTATTCTGAGGTCAAATTGCTGTTTAGTATGAAAAAGTTTGACTGTAAAAAAAATATTTTAAATAAACTGAAGTTGGAGACTAAAGCTTGTGTCGTAAATCATGCATGTAACAAACACTAGTCAGAGGGTGCTTTGTTACTGTAGCTTCAGGGCTGTTTTGGTCTTAAGATCCTTTTATGTAAAATATTCAATCAGATGTTTAAATTCAAGATAATACATAAGTAGCAATATACCAAATCAACCTGAATCTGCTGTGTTTACCTTTTCTGCGCCGAGGGAAGTTCTCTCCCTCTCTCCTCCCTGGTATCCTAGATGCTGAAGTCAATATATTTTATGTAATACAGCTGGAGAACTGCTCGTAGGCATCGAGTCTATTCTAAGTTGGCCTATTAATAAATCCTCCCGAAAAGTCGATTAACAACCTCTCGTGAATATTTGAGTTCTACCACCATGTTCAACTTCTGGTGTCAAATCAGTTTGACATTTTTACCCCCCCCCCCCCCCCCCCCAAGAGGAATAGAAAGGCTCTACTAAATAGACTGCACCTTCAGGTGCTTCAGCCAGGTTAGTCATCTCATGCCTGTAATGTTAGAAAGGAGCTGTATAAATTAATCCAGGGTCAGCGTTTAACTACCGATCCAGTGGGATAAAAGGTCAAGCACCCTATGGTGAACATGGTGTGATGTTACCGTATGACGTTCAAGGCAAGAGTAGTGTGGGAAAATGCCACTCAACTGCAGTGTGCATGGTGACTTTGCACTGGTGTCGGGTGGACACGTGGAAAACTTTGCACGTGAGGTGGTAGGGTGAACAGAAGAGCCAGAAGGTAATAGTGGTGCGCACTTCCTTAATCAGGTCTTAAGTTTGCGGATCAAATAGCCCATCAATATTCAAGTGACAGATGAGACTGGCAGGCAGAGAGACTATCAAATAGACAGGAGGAAGAACAGGAAAGAACTTTGAGAGTTTCAACACTTAAGGAAATACGCTTTGTTGCTGAGCGTTAGAACAGATGATTAACGGTCTCAATTTAGGAGGTTATATGCACGAGTGTCTGGACCATGAGCAGTGACTTCCTGGAGCCTCTGTGGTCACTAGCAACTGCTCCAACCCAGAAATAGCTCAGCAAGTAACCCAACTGTAAAACCACATGTTGGTGTTTTTACACCATTTGTATGGATTAAACAACGATGCCATGCTTTTACATATGTAGCTAAATAAATCAAACAGGTTAGCTTAGTTTAACAAAGACTTAAGGGAAATGGAACACCTGGCTCTGCCCAAAGGTTGCAAATTCTACCCAACACCTTGACTGCTTATCAGTAGGTTTATAGTTTAATTTATACAAAAACATTTAAAAACAAGTTTTGATTTTGGAAGAGACTCCACGAAGTCACTGCTCTAAGAAACGGTCACACACACACACACACACACAACCCCTTTACAAGGGTGAAGAGTTTTTAACTTTTTCTACATGTGGCAATATGGGGACAATGATGAAAAGGTGGGGGGGGTTAACACCATACAGGAAAATAGTTTAAGAACTTAATGGTCTTGAAAATAGCACACAAGGTACGGACTCATTACTGACCCAAGACAGCTGTGATTCTTAGAATTAACCAAATGTTTTCTTATAATCAAAATCCTTAGATAGGCAAAGACTGGAGCTGCTGTGGAAGAAAGGATATTAATGGCCAAATGAAATTATTGAAACACTAAAGGGAATGTCCCATGCACAGTGTGTGGGCCCTCACCACAGGGGCCTAACTTCCCAACAACAGACGCTGCTTCAGTGAAGGGCAACTAATACAAGAATTAAACAACCCAGTTGGTTTGACGACAGGCAAAATGATAGCCCGAGGAGCAAAACAGCAGCAAGTAAACCTACAAAAGGGAAAACTGGGATTAAGGCTCACCATGCTGCATACTAAAATTAGTTTTATACTGTGACCAGCTCACAACTTCTGTATGGTGGCATTAACACATGGGATCACCCCAAAAAGGTCAACAGGATAAAAATGGGGTTCGAACACACCATGCACAGTCAACACGATCATAAGCATGTCAATGTGTGCAGTGTAGAAAGGCTGACTTGTGCATGTGATGTGATTGCTTTAATTACATACCTGTAACACCAAACACTTCCAGCCAGGACAGGGGCCAAAAGAGTGAGCATAGGCCAACAGATGTTTTGTATAATCTGCCCCTAATTAGGTAATTGGTTGTGGGAGGAGCCAGGCCTGGGGCGGCATTCACCAACACAACACATAATGATAATGTATTCACTTGCATTATGGGGAGCGTTCTTCACCACATACGGATTCAACAAAGGAGAAATAAAGAATTAGTGAGGTTTTGAGGTGCTGATAGACATATTTTGTTACCCTCGGATAAAGCCAAACTAGCTGTTTCCTTGTGTTTCCCATCTTTATGCTAAGCTAATCCACTGGCTGTAGCTTCATATTACCCTTACAGACCATACTGTCTTCATCTAACTCTCGGCAAGAAAGCACATAAATACATTTCAAGCCATGGAAAAATAGATAGATTTAGAGCTCAGATGTCTATATGGAAATTGACAGCTGCAAAAATAGGATTGATGGCCATAAATATCTCGTCTATAGATATATTAAGCATGGGAGGGATAAAGAGAGACATGCTGGAGATAAGAGGAACAGAGTGAGTCAAAGGAAATTAAAGACCCTTTCATGCTCCAGGATAGTTTGTGCAAAAATACCTCAGACCCTGTCTCAGTCTAAAATATCATTGTGCTGCTTTTGAGTTGGAGCTTAGTGTGAGTAAGCATCTCGTTATCTCACTTTTGCAGCCAGCGCTATTGGATTAACATAATCGTGAACTAGTCTGGGCACCCAGAATACAGTTATTGTCAATGCAACACATCTCCAGCTGTGTATGCATGTGCAGGTTCACTTGTGGGGCTGAGTTTGCAGTGTATTTGTGTATTTGTGCAGCTACGTCTGTGAATCAACAAGGCCCCGGTGTAGACCATGAGGCCACCATACAGATCTTTGACTTGGATGCTAATTAGTAACCCACTAACCTTCTAAACACCCAGATCGCAAAACAGGGGGAAAGCACATTCAAAGAGCAGAAGGAGAGGTCGAATAACAAGACAAAGCAACAAAAAAAAAACCACTTCTCCAGGCAGAACTGTGACGCACAAAAGGACACACCATCTCCTCTCAAATGACCTTTTTATTGCTGGGGAAGGATACAGAGTTGGCAGGCCCCTGAGCCTGTGTGCAGATATGTAACAGCAGTAGGACCATCCCTCTCTCTGCCAAGTGGAGGCAGGGGCTTAGTCTTCACCATCAATCAATAGCCACTTTCACAGAGGAGGGCTAAGCGGGGCTTGTTCCATCAAGTCCAATAGAAAACATAGAATCGAACACAATAACTTCATTAGGTTGAAATAAATCAAACTGAAAAATCATTTCTGAGAATAATCTGATGTGAGAATAACGGAGAAAGTGAGAGAAAATAATCTGAAGAAAACTGTTAAAAAGTCACTTTTGGCCTGTAATGAAGAGCAGGCATATCTTTAATTCTGTCTGCCTTTGTGTGCTCCAGTGTGGGCAAAATGTGAAATCACAAATAATTAAAGCAAAGGAGGAGGACTTATTATACACTGTGCGTTTACAATTGTAAGCATAGGAAATGTATTTAACTTAATATAAGTCGCAGCAGTTCCTTTATGATTCAGTTTAGCACAGCATTCTGGGAGGTTTGATTGTCTGACAGCCATTTGGTGCCGTCATCCATATGTGGCAGTGATTAATGATGAAATGTTCTTGAAATAACTGAAACCAAATTCCCAAGCACCAGTCTCTTGAAGTAATACCACTGCTCCGTGACTAAAGGATTAGCTTCCTATTTTGTGTGTGTTTGGGTGTGAGTGAGCTTGTTTGTGAGCTGATGTGTCAGAGGGCTATTACAGTCGGTTAGAGCTCTTACTTTATGTCGCATCTCCCATCTGTGGACATTTTACAGTGGCCTGTTGGCCTTCAGCTCAGTAGATGCACACAAAGGTGCAAACAACCACAGGCAGGAAACACACCTGCAGGAGCTTCTGCATCCAATGGCTGTTTGCATTTATGTCTATTCACTGAACCGGCTCGCAGTCACAGCTGTGCTCTTGATGTGATGGTAACCAGCTTCTGTCCTGAAGCACATCCTGACCACTACCTCAGCCTTGCTTGTGAATGATGGGATAAAGAGATGAAAACAAACAACCATTCTCAAGCACAACAATATCCCTATTAGTACCACTGTATTTGTAAAGCATAGTTTAACATTTTGGGAAATAAGCGTATTCCCTTTCTTGCCAAGAGTTAGATGAGTCTGTACGCTGAAGCTAGAGCCATAGCCTGGTAGCTTAGCTGAGCATGAAGACAGAAGCAGGAGGAAACAGCTAACAGTCACCCAACTGTATAGCCTATCCTTATTTTCATCAATGAAAACATAGCATTGCATTGCAGGATTCTTAGCACAAAGTAGTGTACATGCCATGGCTTCATATTGTGCATTCATTCTACATTCAGAATTTGGACACTTAACTAAAATGGGGGAAGGTCAATGAGAGGGGTATCTGACTCAAGGAAGTCAACGCTCCCGGCCAAGGAATAGTTTGGCACAAACTCCCTCAGATAACCACAATTTGTTGTGTTTACATTTAGTATATTGCATGGATTAAACAAACAAGATAAGACAGTGTTAATTAGTAAGCGCGGTGTGGGTAGGTTGGTTTTTTACTTTTCGACCCCCCTGTTTCCAGTCTTTATGCTAAGCTAAGCTAATCAGCTGCATAACATTGCAACAACAACAGAACTAAAAACTATGGCATGTACACTAGTTTGTGAAAACAATCCCATAATGCAATGCTCTGCATTTTATTGATGCAAATAAAATGAAGCTCTAGCGTAAGATCAGTCAGGAAGACTCTTGCATGCCTAAGCCCGTAGTATATTTCTCATACATCTCATTCATTCAAGTTGTATCAAACTTCTTATCTCAGCCTCAGCAAGAAAGCTAACAAGCGTATTTCCCAAAACATCTAACTCTTTTAAAATGTAAACTTCATGATTTTGATGATGTGGGAAGAGGCGGTTAGTGAGAGTAATGCAGCGTTAGAGAGAACAGAGCACTTCTTCTGAGCTCTTACACAGTACATTGTACCCAGAGGTGATTTGTGTTGGAGTCGATTATGGAGGCAGAACTGATGCTTTTGTCTCTGTGTGTCTGACAACATGCATACATGTGCCTGAATATGTTCTGGCTTTGCAGTGTGAGGGTGTAAAAAGTGCAGGATATTAAGGTCATCCTTTGAGTATATTATTTAAGCTCAGCATCTTCTGCTGCTATACAGTACCTCCAAGTGCCCATACAGAGCAAAAACTGTCAATACTGAGAGTTTTCAGAGCCAGGTGTTTGCCTTGTGTGCAGAACACATGACCAGCAACTATGTACATGTTTATTACTTGTCATTCCATCTGTCTCATTGTGCTGACATGTATTAGGGCAACCAGCTATCCTATTTCCACGCCGCACCCTTGCCTGTGGCGTCACGTGGCCTAATCGGTGTGGTTAGCAGAATGTAATACACCATACACGACTAACCCATATCTGTATCGTATGCAGATATAGATAAGAGTTTACTACACAGACCTCAATAGACGTACACATTATGCAATGCATTCTGTATATACTGAAGGCACCCATGCAAATATTACACCCAAAGCCATGAGAGCATCTCAGCATACTGCTTTAGTAGCAACTTACAGGTACTGTACAAGGGTCACTATCTTGCATTGACATTTTTGGCATCTAGTTATGTATGTCATGCCAGTAAGTATGTTTAGGTTGGTGCATGCAGAGTTATGCATACTGCCATCAGTCAAGATCACTCCCTTATATGACGAGGGAGTGCAATGACACAGACATACACATGCGATTAGTTCCTCACTGTCTAGTGGTGTAGTTGAAAAAAGATTACACTTATACCAAGACTGCCTTTTTCTAACACCACATTTTCACAAACTGCAAAAGGGAAAAACTCCACAATTGACATTTTTCACAGCAAACATTTTGACTTTTCATTGCAGCAACAGCTCAGGTGTAATTAATACTTGTCATGATGCCTGAGACCAGGGCCCTGGAGCCTGAACACCTAAATGGAATGCGGCCATCATTCATGTTATTAATTACACCAGTGCTTTTCACGGTATGATAAATCAAACGGTTTGAAAAAGGGTCTATAATGGTCAAAGCAGAAAATTATTTTTGCATTCAACACTGACACTTAATAACCAGCATGTGTCTCAGTACTGTTCATGTACTGTTAGTTCTTTAGTGAAACCAATAACTTTATATTTGTAGTTCATTTTGGACAAATCCCAACAATGTGCACACACAAGCGCCAGTAAATGTGTGAAGAAAGGTTTGTCAGCATGATTGGAGGCTACATTACAGTAAGACAACAGATTGTGTGCACCCATTCTATCTTCACCACATTTTATAATAAGTAAAAGTCATATAATGCCACAATATTAAGTGTTTTTAACATTTTGACTTGTCATTGTAGGAAAAGCACAGGTGTTACTCATAACACTATCATTGGCTCTGTTTTATTCAAGTGTCAGAGTAAGCCATGATAGTATGACAGTGAGCCAGCATGCAAAATAACCTGAAATTCAAGAAACTAAATTAAATTTAGCCATCGTTTATTAAGCCATCATTCATTTTATTAGCTACACATGTGCTTTTCTCTCTACCTTGCTGGCACAGCTGCAAGATATTACTATCATTACAGTGAATAGGACTTGCATACATCCATCAAACATCACACTTTCATAATAATATTGCCATTCATCCATCATCTGTAACCGCTTATCCTTACAGGGTCGCGAGGGGCTGGAGCCAATCACAGCTGACATTGGGCAAGAAGCAAGAAGCAGGGTACACCCTGGACAGGTCGCCGGTCAATCACGGGGCGGACACATAGAGACAGACAACATCTTCAGTCACATTCACACCTATGGGCAAACAACAAGTAACCTGCATGTCTTTGGACTGTGGAAGAAAACCCAAAACTTGTAGAAAGTAAAATCTGCACAATATAAAATGAGGGGGGAAAAGCAGCTGGTCCAATCACTGTGAGAGGACGCCCTCCCTCTCAGATCCCTCAAAAGTTCAATGTTTCTCTTAAAACAAGTACCACAATTATTCTGAGACACAACTGATTGTACAAAGAAAATACACACACACACACACACAGAACTGCACATTGGAGCAGCTACCTAATGGTTTCTCTAGTCCACCAAAGATTTATTTTCCTGCTCCTTCCTAAGTTCGGAACAGTCAGTGCCAGTGGAAAGTGAAGTAGTACAGCCGCCAAGTAAGTCAAAATATGAAAGTCTATGGACCATAGACTGTTGGCCTACGATGTTGCAAATTGGAGGCAAAAAAAGCAGGTGTTGATATTTACCACTGTGGGCTGAAATGATTCGGGTCCCTGTTTTTCCTGACAGCATTCGCTGTCTTATTGCTCTAAAGCTGTAAATTCATTAAACATCAGGTTTGGAGTAAAGTCTTTGTAAATTCACTCATTTTAAAGTGAATAAAAAGTGTAACTCACATACTAAGAAAGTAGGAGTATGGATGTTTTTAAAGAATGACTCTCAAATGATAAAACTTAGGATCTTTTGAATGAAAATCCTGTTTCCTATAATGAATTGAATTAGCTTGTAAACACCTCATAAGGCTTTTTTGGTGCATCAACTGTGCATGCAGAAACAAATAGGACACTGCACTCAAACCCAACAAAGAGAGGCTGAAGTAGAAATCAATTATTACATTCTCCTGTTTACTTGCCATCCAGCAGGGAACCGCTGCCAAACCAGACCTTAGCAGTTGGCACATGCTGTCTCTCAACTTCACAAACAGACCTTCAACACAAACGCCTCGACTGCAGTTTGTTTCTGGGCTACTAGATGAGGGAGGTGGACTATCAGTACAAAACCACGCATCACCGGACCAAAGATGGACACGCTCACATCAGCAGAAGCTCCTTAAAATGTGTAGCTACATGTTACACACTAGTGTGTGCATGCATGTGCACACATTTATTAATCTACACTGATAAAACTGCATTGTATGAATGCATTGAATCCTCTCCTTTCAGTAGAAATAAGTAGAATGACCACACCACTTTAAATGTCCCAAAGTGGCTGTGACACTACTGTGCTTGTTGCCATTATGGAGGTCAAATGGTGATTTTTGTTTTGGTGTGAAAACAAAGCTAATTAAGTAGGGTCTAGAAATAGATTGTCATATTTATTAGCAGGTGCAACTATCCAATTTGTAACATTATAGGTACAAACAAATTGCATCATATGACAAGCTTGTTTGTCCTTTGTTGGTCACAGCTGGACCCAGATGCTTGTTAAAAGAATAGCCGGACATGTTGGGAAACACTCTTATTCGCTGTCTCGCCTAGAGTTAGGTGAGAAGATCAATAAAGTGGAATCAATCTTCTCATCTAACTCTTGGCAACAAAGTGAGTCATTAAAGTTCCTAAAATGTGAAACTATTTTGAAGTCGGTAAATGTGAACATTGATACTGTTACACAAGCCAAAATGAGTTGATAACCAGCTAAAACATTCTGTAAAGGTCAGACCAGCGAGTGGCTTCGTAGATACCCAGCCCAGCTGATATGGGCTCCTCTGTCACCCCGTATGACCAGTCAAATATTACAAAGTAATACACCATATAGCACAGTCAGACATTTGCATACACTGACAGTAATACCCCAAATGCAGGGGGACCTCCACAATGGCAGCCAGAAGGTGTGTTACATCCCCTGAAAGCCCACTACACAAGAGAAGTATGACATTCCACATCTCTGTTGAATCCTCTTTTCTCTCTGAGAGCCAGCTGAGCTTGTTAAACACACTCAGTTTGACTGCAGTGTAATTGGACTTCATGACAGTCCTGGAAGCTGACAGGAGGCACTGTGGGAATCCGTGATGGGCAGAGTGGAATTAAACATTTTAGACAGTTTGTGACATTTGCAAATTCCCGTTGCCATGGTCACTCCTGAATCGCGAGGTCTCACTAGATTCATCCTCGTCGTCCGCATCGAGCTGTTCGTCTTTCCTCTTGATGTAGCGCTCATGGAGCACCATAATAACGCCCATCACCCAGGCCGACACAGTGCCAGCTGCAAAGATGACAAAGCCGATGGCGACAAAGAACAGGTAGTCCCAGGAGCCCAGAGTCTGGTGACATAACGTCCGTAGCTGGATGCCCACCTCACCCAGACGACGGCCCTGCATGTCGGCGGGCGAGCCACACACCGTCTGGCCCTCATCTGTCAACGCAGGCACACATCAAGAAGGAATGATTAAGGATTAATCATAGCTCAAAAGAACACATTAACATATTTGGTTAGGAATGTAAAAAATGTAACACTGAAGTGCACTGGAGGCAAATATGCATTTTCCCCAAATTCCAGCTATAAGCGGGTCAGCTGTCATGGAGTGGCATCATTCAGACTATTGAGTCATCTTGATCTGGACTGCGTGTGCAGGGTTTGCATTACATCATGACATTAATCCAGGACAGTGGCATTCTTGAAACACATGATTGTCCTTTGACAGTAGCAAGTCAATCTGCATCTGGTCTTTGTCTGTAAAATAGTGCTTTTGTTTGGTAAAGCAAGAAATCCACAAGCAGACATAATTAATGTTAATGTCCCTGAAAAGTTGACTTAAACCCCCCCAAAAAATTCTACAGCATTAAACACTAAATAAACAACAATCCAAATTAAAGTTTAGGGGGACAAAAACACCTATAGATATTATCTATTAAGACTTCCATGGGAAATAACTGAAACAGTTTTAACTTTGGAAGAATATGATGTGTTCATGTAGGACCCCGTCAGAGGAGGAAGCTGACTGAGAAATATATTTTCAGGGCCTTTCAAGTGCATTTAACTGCTGCTCTCCTTTGAGAATACAAAGCAACTTTACTTACATATAGCAAACATATGCAATATAATTGTCATAACTCTTTATTATCATTTAAAGGATCCTTTGATGTTGTGAGAGCCATATTGATGCACAAATAACTTAACAAGGAAAATATACACATAGCGTTAAACACAGCCGCCTGATAAATAATTCATATATTACTTAACAGCATTTTACGTAACAATCGTAAATGGCAGCAAACTGAGCTGATTATATGACATATTCAGGTTCACACAGCGAGACTTATGCAAAAGACTGCACTAGCATAACAACTTTATCAGAAAACTACCGGGCTTTAATAGCCTCACGTGTACTGGAGTCCTGAGTTGGTGCAGAATTGAATTGTGAATTATTCAAACTCCTTTTCCCTCACAGGATTAGAAAGTGACTTGGGCCTTTGTGTCTGCCTGAAACGACAGATAATAAGGTTTCTCATCATAAGGCACCGCGTATGACTATACGACTAAGACCTTGCTGGAATCCACAAATCCTGATAAAATGTTGAGTTCCTTCTCTCTCAATTCTAAAAAGGCCGATCAGTCAAATACGTCACATGATGGATGTTGAGCTCTGCAGCAGCTGACGAGAGGCATTTTTCAGGAAACAATCGTGAAGCCGTGTCTTCTGTTACCGCGAGCAGAAACACAACGGCGTTGCCATCTCCATGCCACCACTGTTTTTAATTGGCTTCTGGGTTTTCAAAGCTTTTGTGCAAGGGGGGAAGTCCCACTGGGGGAGATCAAAAGACTTGGAAGTTTCTGCACAGGGAACAGTTTTCTGAAAGCCTATCTCTACACTAACAGCCTTGAAATATGCATCCTCATTCTGCTGGCATATGTTGTGCATACATGTGGAACTGCTGAATACAGGGACATTTGTAGGATCTGCTTTGACTCTCTGCACCCTGCAAGGTATTTTGGGAAAAGTTGAACCATGACAGAATAATTGCATACTTATTGTATTACACAGTTAGAATCTTTCACAAATAATTCAGCAATAATGTTACAGATTTGTTGTTGTTTTCTTCTCACCTTCTGAGAGTTTGACGCTAATGGTAGTATCACACATTTCTTGTGACCTTATTTCAAAGTGTAGAGACAGAGACTGGAAATGAGGAAAGAGAGAGAAATATGAGACGCAACTAAGGTCCCAAAGCTGAATCAAACCCGGATCGTTTCAGTAATGTGGCATGTGCTGTAACAACTCGACTAAGGCGCTCCTCTATAAGATACTTTTAACCAACTATTTCACTTGTTTATTCATTTATGTTAGGTAATTATATTAACTGTTCAGTCATTACTTTCGGCTAATTATTTCAAATGTTTATCCTCTTTTAGCTGTCTATCCAAACCCTTACTTTTGGCCAACTATTGCTTACTTCTCTGCCACTAGTTTGCATGCACTCTCAGAAGCAACACGTGGCGTTAAGGTGTTATAACTGACTCAGGCTGGTGGGAGGTGTGATTTGACAGAGGGTGAGAGCGATCATGCCGTAGCTTTCAATCAAATCACTTGATAAGTTAATTTAATGGAACGACAAAAATGCACTTCTTCCTAATATTTGATTCATTCGGTGCATACATCTGCGCTCTTATCCACAGACAAGCTCTTCTGTGGCTCACAGATCTGAGAACGAGCGTTGCAGCTGAAGAACACGAGGACAGTCAGCCTCTCTAAGCTCCATCCACCACACAGAGAATTCAAAGCATACTCTGATCCTCTCAACGGCTGCTGCTGTGCACTGTTCACACAATATGCTGTACCAAAGACACACATCCATGCATGCACACATGCACACTCCCTCTTAATATATGCACTAACCCCCTCCACTTGACTTGACTTTCCCATCTTCATGCCTCTGCTAATGTGTGTGTGTGTGTGTGTGTCCTTGCGTGTGTTTGTGCGTGTGTCTGACAGCGAGGGAGGAAACCCTTCTGGCTTCACCCCCCTCTCCCTCCTTCCCCCCCAACGAGACTGGCATCAAAGAAGAGGGCTTTCCCTCCCTCCGTCCCCCATGCACACTCTGCTCTATTTCTAGACACTCTCCTTATATAACAACTGAAAGAGTGTTAATCTAGCCAGGAAGGCGAGACAGAGGAGAATCTGTTGGTTCCTTCCTGAAGCTCTATCGCTCTCTCGCTTGCCATGCGTTTCCCTAATCAGAGGAGACAAGCGAGCCGTGTTGCATGAACCAGGTGAGACCAGGACAAGACTTAACAAGGCATTGGAGACAAAGCTCGCAGCTGAAACACAGTCCTCTCCGAAATGTTATCCTTCTGTTTTCCCCCTCAAGCACTAAAAGTGTGTATTATTTGGGGTTGTGTGTCTAAATACATGAGTCAGTGAATGTGAATTTCTGTGTGTGTATGACTTTCCAAATATTATTTCCCCGAGACTCGGTTTAGGACAGAATAAGCTGCCTGGATAGAGATGGACATACTCTGTGTATATATGTAACCGAGGTAGAAAATGTGTGAGTAGCTATCCTCTCCCTTGCTGGCAGCTGTCACTGGAAGAGGCTCCACTCCAAATTAAGCGAGACAAAAGGCAGAGAGCAGCAAGAAAATAGGACAGCTCTTGCAGGACTCGTTTTCGACTCGGCCAAAGATGCACAGGGACTGTGGTGAACTATAGTATGTGTGTGTGTGTGTGTTAGAGAGAAGCAGGGGATGCCTTTTTAGTAAGCGTGGCGGATGTATTATAGCTATGGTGTTAGAATTACGACAGGCTCCTTGCTCAGTAAGACACACTATAAATAGCAGCTGCCCTTTTGCATAGTGACACATCCACACCAAAGCATGAGCATAATAACTCAAAGTAAGAAAGATTGTTGAATGTCAGTCACATCTATTAGCTTGACAGTGATAAAACAAATCGATATTTGATGGTGCAACTATGATCCATTAATCACATCTGCAGGATAGCTGGATAAAATAGAGATTGATTAGTCATTTCAAGATGAAAGACTCTCTTGTTTTCCTCCCAAACTGCAGGATGCAGAGCTGAATTAATGAACACAGTTGCCTGAAGAGAAATCTAATGGCTCCCTGCCTCCGATCTTCTTTCCCCCTCTTTGCTATTTGATAGTCTGAATGCTGTCACTCTGCACATCTCATCCCACTGAAAGCTGAGCAAGGGTCGAACTTTGCAGACTTCTCCGAACGGCATGGTTACATACATGTGTATTCTTCTTCTCCACATACAACCACATATTTTGCACGACACACTGTATTTACCACAGATAATATCATAGAGGTGTGGGTGATGACGGCATGATGTTATCTGTTGCATGTGCTCAAAAGGTGCAGACTTGAGTATTTTAGTATGATATGAGGGGAATCCAGCAGTAAGGGCTCTGCGTGTGCTTGAAAAGATTATCAGCATGGAGGCATTCCTTCTTGGGGACTAAGGGAGACGTTTACTGCCATTTTGTTTGTTAAATTACTTTTACTGCTATAAGTTATTTTAATTGTAATATTTTACAATGCTTTATAAATACATTTTAAACCATTAGAAAGAACAATTTTAAGGTTGGGTTGTGAAAACTCACTCTGGCTGATATTTTGAAATGCTGAATGAGGATAAACAGCACGGCTGTACTACCAACAGTACCAAACTATCACCAAAGGCCCTGTCTCGAAAAGGGCCCCTGTGTCAAAATCTGGTTTTAAGACCTTTAGTAATTCAGTTTTGCTCTTTTGTGTTTCATTTTCTAAAGATTTAATCAAATTACCACACAATCAAACATTCCATAGCAAGTGAGAGGCCTTAAGACTTATAGCTAGTTTTTGCCTTTTTTAATGGCTCATAACTGATATAGTGCATTCATAAATGATTCATCAACCATTCATAACCATTAATTACAACTTATAAACCCTTTATAAAGGGCACATTGTCAAAAGGTGCATTTTATTTTATCTGGTTTTTAATTTGTCTGCTTTCTCTTTCATAACTATTTCTAAGATGTCCTCATATGACACACTTGGTGCTAAGTCTGCATTCTTGTATGGAAGGTGCTAAATACGTTTTCATCTTTTCATGGGACAGGCCGATTATTGAGGGCAGCCACCAGCAAAAGTCCAACCGTTTAAACAACAACCGGGCATTATCTACTAATTAATAACTGGAGCAGAAGCCCTATTGTGTGATTGGCTCTCTGGGGCCTATCCACCTGATATACGGAAAGAGCAACAGTAAAAGGTCGTGCTGTGATTATGTCACCTTATATGATATTAGAATACAATAGAATGTGATAAAACCTTGGAACTTGAAGCCCTCCAGGTGGACCCACAGACACAGGTCCTCGTTGTTGCACTCGCAGCTCCACGGGTTCCCGCTGAGCCCCACCGAGCGCAGGGCGGGCAGCGCGATCAGGGAGGTGATGTTGACGACCGTCAGGTTGTTCCGACTCACATCCAGCACCTGGAGGGCCGCGTTTTCCACAAAGGCGTCCTGGTGAATGTCCGAGAGCCCCGGGTTGTCGGTCATCCTCAGCATCACCAGGCTCACCAAGGGCCCAAACGTCCTGTCCTCGATCCGGATCAAGGTGTTGAAGGAGAGGTCCAGGTAGGCCAGCTTCCGTAGATTCCCAAACGTAGACTCGGATATCTCCGTAAGGGAATTGTTGCTGCAGTCCAGGTACACCAGATCGGAAAGGTAGTTGAGCGCAAGTGGCGGCAGCTCCACGATGCGGTTGTTGGAGATAATGAGCTGCCGCGTGGCCAGCGGCAAGTTGACCGGGAAGGTGGTCAGGTGCTGCCCAGCGCATTGAACCACCAGCTGGTCATCACACACGCACCTGTCCGGGCAGCCCGTGGAGAGCACCGGGGATGGTTTCACCCCCGCGGTGAAGAAGAGCAGAACTATGAGCCGCAAGGGTTGCGCGCTTGGCTGCGGGGCAAGACGCATGACACCGCCGACGGCTTCATCAACCCCTTTTGGAGAGAGTCAGGCGCGGTCACGTTCTTCATTGATACATCCTAACCAAGCTGTTTGTCTCAGAAATAAATTACACAGAGGTCAAACCTAACGCTTGCCCGTGGCAAAACTCTTGCGCGCAATGTCTCAGTTCATCCTGTCGTTGGTTCTGGATCCGGCGCGCATCCACTGGTTGGAACTTGACAACAAGATGCCTTCATGCTGTTTCAAAGTGCATCTATTTATCGTGATTCTCCCGTCGAAACAAAGCTATTCAGACACTGTAAGCGCTCACAACGTCCTCTCATGCTGTGCTGCTTGCAATGGTCACGGTCAGTTGTTCCACTACATGTTTGCCATCCTCTCGCTCTCCGAAACTGAATCCAAATATAGGGGGGGCACTAAACTCCGCGCGGGTAGGGGTGGGAGTGCGTTGTGGAGTGATCTCACGCTTTGGAGTGTGCTGGAGCGAGAGGGGAATCTCTGGGCAGCAGAGCTAATGGAAGTAAAGTCAAAATGAATGGGATGCATGCATAGGAACCCAAAGTAAAAAAGGTGACCTACAATGCTCCAGCTGCAGGCACAGTGATCAATCTACATATGCCTCAGGTGTGTGTTGTATGTGAATTCTGTATATGGAAACATCTCTTTGTGGGTATGTGTGTTTTATACCTTTTGTCAGCCTGCCTCAGGTGTGTGTGTGTGTGGAGGTGGAACAAAAGCAGGTGCACCTGACACCTGGGAAGCATATATGATCAGATCACATGGGTTTTAGGCTCTGGAAACAAGAGAACTGGGCAGTGATAACAATGTGTTAAGAGGGGGATCCCTAGCAGCCATCTACACGACTCAGACCTATATGTGCAATGAGGCTTTTTCAATAACATCTGACATATCAAGCAGACAGCGGATGATGGGACGAGATGGGACAGGGTGGTCTCAGGCAGCAGTTGATTTCCTCCTCACTCCGGTCTCAGTATGAGTCCTGAGTCTATTCTTGGTTATCTGTGTAGGTGTTGAAGTGCTGAATCAGCATGATGGAGGAGGAGGACAGATGTGCCGCTGACAGTCCGTGAAAGAAACTACCCAGAGTCGACAGTCAACAACCCACTGCACACTGACCCCGCTCACTCTTTTCCTGTCTCACACGATGAGGTGGAATCTTTTCCTTCTATGCATTCCCTGGTGTCGAAAATAGAGCAGGAGGCCCGTAGACATGCACAACCTAATGCTTTTCCACATCCTGTGGACTGAACTAATCCACACAGCTGTTTTATGTCAAGGAAATTCAGTGACTTCAGGAGGACATCTAGTGACGAACACTTGGTAATGTTTTACACAGCGAGAAGCTGCCGTGCAGAAATCAGCTCATACACTTTCTTTTCGGATGCATGGTTTGCATCTTGTCTGGTAATTACCCAAAACCCATGCATTGCAATATACTTAAAGCACCAATGAATTCTTTAACCTCTGAAGAAGAACTGGCCCACTCTTATCTCATTGAGTTCACTTAAGCATTGCTCAACCCAAAGAACTTTAATCTTAAACTCTAGGGGAGATCACAAAGTTGCTAAAGATATCAAATATGTCTAGACATCTAGATTATTTCCACTCAATGGAATGGTGCCATATATCCTACAAGATAGAGTATTAGGTTTGAATATCTTCATAGTTGGAACAATATGATACTGCAGAAGAAGATGACTAAAAGCTTCTTCAAGGGAAACAAAAGGGGGAAATTGTATATTATTGGGTCAAAGAATAGACCTTTAAAAATACGAACTACATAATTAACCAACCAGGAAGGTCCTGACGGCAACAATGACTTTACATGCCGGCAGTAAAACCAGTTCTGGCTGTGTGGCACCTGTTGCCATTGCAAAATAATCGACACTCTCATAACCTGTTTGCCTAAGCATGGCCTTGATTCACCTCAAATATTGTTCAGTGTTCTACATTCGACAGATGAATTGCAAAATGAAGAGGCTCGGTATACTGTAATCCCTCGTCTTAGAGCATGTCAGTCACATTTGACCTTTGCAAGAAGTTGTCCTGCATTTTTATCTTTATGGTTACTCTGCATTCATAAGACCTGTTTTGTCAAAAAGACAAAGACAAAAAAACAAACAACTACAGCACCAAATTGTTGTTTGAGTGACATAACAGTGTAGAAGTGACTCTTGGCCTGCTGAACAAGAGACACCACTGACAGGGCTTTGCATGTCTCAACCTGACCTGATATGTGATACAGGAAACTTTGTTCTTTGAGATCCTTGGTCACTTCAAAGCAGGTGCAGATTGTTGGCAGCCCTCCAGGATCAGAGCCCTGGTGTTGTGAACTTGCTCACTGCCACAGCTTACTGGATGGAGTCATCATTAATGTCATTACTTGCACCTGTGCTTTTCTTGTCATGTATCCCGTATGAAACAAATCCTCACTTTATATCTGCAATATCTTCTATAATTAACCATGTTGAATAATCTACTCAAGCAAAGATAAATCTTCATAATAACAGAAATGTGAAACCTGTTAAAGTAAAACTATTCGCAAACAAAAGCAAAGAATAGAGATAAGGCCCATACATTTAATTCAAATTTTGCACAAGCAACTTAGATGTTTTTCTTTGCAAGTGAAAGCCCTATACTGAAAATCTCACTGAAGTAAAAATACATAAATAGTATTGTTGCAGCCACTTGCAAATTACTTATAGTGCTTAAAAATGCTGTTGTAAGTTTATACTGTCATATATTATATGAGTGTATTATCAATATTATTGATGCAGCCACATAGCTGGTTGAGATGGAGGTAATTTCATAAAAATTATACTGTTGGGTAGTTGAATCTATATTAGTGCATCATATAGTAAAAGGCCAAAGTATGTTTTGTTTTTTAAATGTTTGTAAAGTAACGCGCAACTAAATAATGTAAAAAATAAATAAAACATAAATTTCTTTCTTGCTCAAATAAAGTGGAAGTATAAAGTAGTATAAATTGGAAAAAACACAAGCAATGTGGTAATAATAATACGAATCATTATCAGAGGGGAGTAACGATACAGTTCAGTGCATGGTCTAGTGCGCATGTCAGAAAAATTGAACTGATTTTTTGAGGAAACGTTTCTGTAGAGCACTGTATCGTAGAGCGAACCGGGTGTTCTCGTGACATTTAGCGCACATTAACAACACAAGTTTAAGGAAAAAATCATTTTCATAAACGGCAGACTGCAGTAGGCCACAGGTGGCACACCACGCCCTCATTGTTTGTGTTACCAGAGTGTTACGTAAGCCTTTACGCATTACGCACACCGTGGATGTATAAAGAGACAGACGCACCCGGAAACACAGTCGAGTACGTTTCTTGGAAACTTTGGTGACATCGGTCAGTCGCTCTGTTTTTCACACTCGCTACGTCTTTAAGGTAAACTTTTGAAATGTTATGTTATGGTTCCATTTGTCTTCTGCACGTCTCCTCTCAAACGTGTTGGTCTAACGTTGATGGCGTCGTTGGTATCCTCATTTGACCTTTTGCCTTTAATGCGCCCGTGCTCTCCGGTGTGCTTTTTACAGCCTCTTTCTCCTGTTTGAGTTTCCCCTGATTTCTTATCTATAAAAAAAATACTAAGAGTTAGGCTACACTCAAAAAGTAAGAGGTATTACTTTCAAAATGAGTCAAAAGCTGAAATGATAACTATATATATATATATATATATTTATATACACATCCAAGATCGAATAACTCACAGGTAATTCAGCTTTTTTTCTCTTCCTCTCTCAAGATTGCCAGGATGGTTGTGCTTTCCAAAGAGTATGGATATGTGGTGTTGACTGGCGTTGCCAGTATAGTGATGGTTACACATCTGGCCATTAAAGTTGGCAAAGCCCGCAAGAAGTACAACGTAAACGTGAGCAGATCATTGGATATCTATCTATCTATCTATCTATCTATCTATCTATCTCTCTCTCTCATACTGTTTAAGAGCTGCACCTCAACAAGTCCACAGTCCGCTGGCATAGTTTTATGCTTGAGCGGTGTCTTTCTGTGGCTCATGTAAAGCACTTTGAATTGCCTGTATACAAATAAACTTGTCTTCACTTGCAGTATCCTCAGATGTACAGTGACAACTCAGAAACTGGAAACATTTTTAACTGCATCCAGCGTGCACACCAAAACACGTATGTATGAGCTGAAATATGAGCAATGCAACTTAGATTTGCACCCTCTAGTCTAGAGTGATGTTGCACCACGCTCTCGTGATAACAATGGGGAAAAGAGGTGAAAGTTAACATGCTGTTATAACCTTTCACCAGCCTGGAGGTCCATCCCACCTTTCTTTTCTGCCTGGCATTTGGTGGTATGCATTGTCCGGTAAGTTTATTTTTGCAATGTCATATTTCCTCAGCACCAGCCTGCCTATCTATCTATCTATCTATCTATCTATCTATCTATCTATCTATCTA